CACAAGCAAGAATGAAGCAAAAATACATTTTTGTTCCTTTCATATCTGAGAAATTCAGCAAAGCGATAAGGAAAAGCTTAGAACATGCAGGCCTTAATGACTCCGTCAGTATTGTAGATATTCCGCTTCCCAGTCTCAAAAAACAACTAATTTGCAATCGCTCTTATGATCGACTATGCATGAATACCGATTGTGTCGTATGCCCATTTGGTAACCAGGCGATTGCATGGAGGAAGTAGTAGTTTATCAATAATTTGTCAAACTTGCGGGAAAGAGTACATAGGAGAAACGGGTAGGTCTCTTTGTCTGAGAATCAAAGAGCACCTAGATGGTTTTATGAAGTCTAAACCGAACACCGCCCTAGGCGCACATCGCAGAGAATATTGCTCGGATCAACAATTTAATATAGCCGTCACAATCTTAACGCGTGAACCCGAAATAATTCCTCGTAAAACCCTAGAAGCATTTTGGATAACATCGAAAGCTCCTGCAATGCGCAAAGAAGAGGGCGTTGCCATGAATAGTGATCTAATCGCATATCAGTTTCTTTGCGGATTTGATCTACACTGAGACTAGATTCACCTATGTAAGGCACTTGTACTAGTCTTTACTACTACTGACTGTGCAGACGCTGTGTTTAGTGATGGCTCGACCCGATTCGAATACAGCTGAGGTAAGCATGAATGACGATTTCCGTCACGGCTTTCAGCCTGGCTTGATGTTCAAAGTAGCCTTGGCTTAGACGAGGTGTTTGAGAGAACAAGCCACTAATGTGACGACCTTCCAGGCTCCGACGAAGGTGGAGGCACCGAAACGTTAGCATGATTGAATAAAGCGTGCTACAATCTTGGTAATCGGCTCAAGTAAACATACATGATTATCTGCATCATGCCAAGATTTACCAATAGTCGAGCTTGGAGTCTCTGGAAATATTTTCTTCCGAAAGCCGCTGAACGGTATCACTCATTTTATGACTAGGAGACGCCAAACCGTATCGCACATCTTGTCTAAACAAGCATAATCGTGTACATAGCATGATTATACTTGTTATCTCGTTCAGGTTGATTCCTCTTTAAAGGCAGCATCCAGGCAGATTCTCGACTTCTATATTTTTATGTTATCCAGGCTTTTCCATGGCGCTGATTTCGGATATGGAACTCAAAAAGCGTGAATTTCTCAGAAAACCACTTTTGGGGCTATTTTGGGAAAACTCGGACGAGTGCTTCTGATGTTATCCATGTCGAAAGCAAATATTAACAGGTAAACGCTGTAAGTTCGATCATGTGAAAACACGTCAAGGCTGAGGAGATTTCGTTCATAAGGGGTTGGCCGTCCGAGGGAAGTGGGCGTGGTCGTCAAGCTCGAGTCTGCCTGGACGCTGCCTTTAAAAACAGGGAAGAACAAACTCAAACTTCAAGACAATGTTTGCAATGCAGTCGCGCGTCTCCTGGTCATATAATGGACGATACTTTTCTGTTATCCGAACCCACTTTTTCAAAAAAAAGTATGGTTTCTTCCCTTGTACCAATTTTGGTCAAAACTTCACAGGATGGAGTGTCATCCTCCTGCCACGTGTCGAAAAATTGATATGTCATCAGAGAGAAAAACATCTTCAATATTTTGAAAACGACCAAGTTTAGATTTATGCTACGGTATCATTTTTGACATTTCATTCATAATTTCTTTAGATTTGGTAGATTTGAGTTTCGATGTTGCTTTGAAAAAGAAATTTTGAAAATCCCTCATTTCGAATTTTGATTTCGGTTGGGCTTTATCGATGCTGAAACTTGACTTTGCACAATCTCACTACTGAAAAGAGCTAAAACCCCTACCGAAATGGTCTTGTTCGAAGCAATTTCGCTACCTGAACTTCGATTTTGAAATTTTTTCCGGTGCTGCCATCAAGGCCCTTTTGAAAATTTCGGATGTTTAGGCCCAATTTCAGGAAGAATGCCAAAAAAATTTTGCGCGTGGCTCACGCTACGCACCTTCAACATAAAAATCCCCTCTCCACCCCGAAGAATCTTGGCTACGCCACTAGTACGAGAATATGTTTCTGTTTCTTTAAGAAAATAGAATTTTGTTTCTAACTTTTGAGAAAGATTTGAACAAGTCCCACAGTGCAAACATAGTGCAATATAATGCATCACATGGGAGTTTTCATGCGGTTTCCAAAAATTTTCCAAAACAAGTTATCCAGAAATTCGCAGAGTCCTAAAACGCTTAAATTCCCAAATCAATCAGGATTAAGCGCTATTTTTATCAAGCAAATGAGCTTAGACCGCCGTGATTCATTGAACCGAATTTACCTGGTGCAGCCTGAGAAGGGAAGACGTGAATAAGTATTATAATAATTTCATTTTCGTGGCCTGCACGTATCATAAAAAAGAAGTCTGTAGAAAAAGGGGAGAAGGCTGCATCGCAAAATTCCCTAGTTCGCGCATTTTGATCTTTAATAGGTTTGGGCTGACAGTTACGAAATCTGGTAGCATCAAAGAAACAAACTTGTTGATTTTGAAAAGCTAGATGTAAGCGCGAGAAGTACATATATTGCATTTTGTTTACTCTCTTCAATTCTTATCAAAGCTTCCCAAATGTCGGGAATGAATTATGATAACATGATATTCGTATCACATCCATAATTAGCATGTCAATTAACCCCTGCAGACAAAGTGTGAGCGAATTCTGAAGATTAAAGATACTAGGCTACCTAAATGAAATGGTCAAATTCCAACATGGTTAACTTTGTTTCAAAGATGAATTAGCTATCCATTTTTGCACTCAAGACAAAACGCTACTCTTTCTTTGTCCACCTCAGGAATCCCGCTTCAGAAGACCTGCAAACTGTGGAATTAGAAGCCATCAAAATCTCGTTTTTCCCATTTTTCGCTTCTGATCGCTGTGCTTTCACCAAATATTACTTAGAGCTAAAAAGACAAATCAGGCTCCGAACAGTCCTATGGAATCTACACGGTTTAGGCTATCGATTCATATAAATATTATCCGCTAAAAATGTTTTTTTGATATAGTTAATGGGGTGCGGCAGACCCCCTTAAAAGCTGCGGCTGCCGCAGCTTTTAAGGGGTGTGCGCACCCCCTTGACTTGCCTTCAAAATCCAGAAAGCGCTCCATTGCTGGTATGAGTATTGAGCACATAGCTTCTTCTTGCTACATTGGAAATTTGGAGCCGAACGCTCCACCCATAAGAAAATTATGGCCCTTTCAATATGCCCATTCATATCAAAATCAACCGTCAAATTACGTGTGATTGTAAAGTGCAGTCACAGAAAATCGGGCGTACAGCTCTCAGAAATCTGAAAACTCTCTAGAAAAAGATGGTGTCCTCCAGAATGTCACATGTTGAGGTCCAGAGGTTAAGAGGAGGAAGAAGGGGTCGTCTGAGGGCTTTCATGGGAGGGGGGGGGGGGTCGAAAGACTTGTGCCTGACCTTCTTCTCAGCTTTGGTAATGCCATCTTAGGTATATAGTTCAGGGGGGGGGGGGGGGTCTTATTAAGACAGCAATTAGGGGGGGGGGTCGTAATCAGCGATCGTGTGCCGCACCCCTTGCTTGACCTTGTTTCTTAGCAAAATAATGACATTTAACGGCTTATAATGTCGTCCACAAAAGCGCTCTGCAGATAAGGAAGACAGATTTAAAGTCAGCGTTTTATGCTGCATCTAACTCAGACAATTGCACCGGGAAGTTCGCGGGTGCTTGCTCGGCCACCAATCATCCATGTCGCGAGCTGCCCGGTATAGACCGATATTGGACCCGATAAGTGACCGAGGCGCATTCTGTAAGCGCCCGATAGTTGATTCGATTAGCATGCTTGTGAGGCTTAGAAAGAGTGAAAAAATTTTGACCTGTCTTTCATGACAACGACTGAATACAAATTGAGAACTTGTTGGCTCATCTGTCGACACCATCTACTGTCCTCGATGACACTCAACCAATTGCTGAAGTTTGTTTCATGAGCATATAAGCTCAACTGCCACACAACCCAACCTGAGAAGCGATTACAAGCCCCACAAATACTTAAGGTAGCCTCATCGCTGCGGCTAGCTCACGCGAGTTGCGCCTTTAGCTACAGCGTATAAGAAGTGCGGCCTTTGATAGGGCCCGCGGCACGCCGAGTGAGGTGATTGGGCCGCGACTCTCCCGATAAGCTCTTTCCAATTTTGATTTTGGCCGCGGCGTTCCCGGTAAAATATATATATGGGCCGCGGCGTGCGCGGCTGAAATTTCAAGGGCCGCGGCGCGCCCTGTAGCATGCTTTGAGGCCGCGAACTTTCCGATGCAATTGTCTGAGTAATGGTGTGCAGCTTGTATGGATTGGCCACTTCGACTTCTGACCATTCCCTTGTCATACAAAAACAAGACTAACGCCAGTAAATCATCCAAACTTGAAGCGTTTTAAAAGTGTATTACACTTAACACTAATTAGACAACGCAACTGAGCGTTCACAGACTCAAAAAATCAAATCTCGAATTTCGCAATCATAGCCTGGGGCATGTTTTAAAACAAAAATTATGATATTTTTGTTCCCAAATACTTCACAAATCGGAAACAAAAAATACCCCTTGGAAAGCGCAAAAAAGCTGCATCTAAATGACACTCGTGTTGCTCGCCGATTGATGTTTTATGAGGTTTGAGTTGTCCAGATATGAAATTTGATAGCATTAAAGCAATAATTCAAAAAAGTTTGGGAAGCAAGTTGTAGGATGGAAAAAATTTGTATCCTGTTGGGTTTGCTCTATCTATCTATTTGAAGTTCTTCGGGAATCATTGCGAAAATCTAGAAAAACAGCGAAACTTGACATAACAAGAACCATGGGTTGCAAATTTTTGCTAGTTACGGCTTTGTTACAATCGAATGCTTCCAAGACCTCTCAAAAATCTTTGTTCCATCTAATGTAGCGTTCATTTGAAAAAAAAGGAAAAACTTTTGAAACGACCTATATGCATAACATGCTTCTCGTTAATCTTACTGATCCTAGATGAGAATCTTGTCATGTATTTTGCTATGCACCTTGGAGACCAGGCTCGTGTACATTGTTGTGAAGGAAACCGATTTAGCGACTTTATGGAAGTTGAGTGCAGTATCAAAATTGTAAGTGAACAAGGAATGTGCGGCAGAGCACATAATAGTATCATTCCTTTACAAATGGAAAGTATTGTCTTCGATGTGTAAATTTTCAGCTCAATAACGCGCAAGAGCGTATAAATTCGCAAACAGCTTTCTTAGTGTACATGGTCGAATCTTTGCAATAAATGCAGTTTTTAGAATATAAACAACACACGGACAGCGATTGAAACAATGAAGGACCTAAAACAGAGATATGCCTACATTCTTTACACTGATAGCATCGAGACAACACCGTCGATGATACCGGAAGAAGCTCTTAAACGTCTTGATACTGTGGAAGCAAAGGCAGGATCATCTTACAGTCAGGAATCGTAAGCGTTGATGCGGTTTTTTTTAGCAAATGCCAACTTTCCATGAATGTGTAGATTGTTTCTGATATAATATTAGGTGGGTCCGAAAGTTCGTGTCGTTTTTAGACTTATCCTCAAATCAATCATAATAACGATAGACAAACACTCTTAGCACTGTTCTATGCAGAACTTTCCCTTTTAGCAGTAATGTCTCTGTTCGGATTACTCTATTGTTCTTTCGAGTAATTGCCACAATCTCCAACCGATGCATTTTACTTACTCTAGATTTTGCTACTTTTCAAAACTCTCGTGTACTTTTAAAAAAGCTTTGATAACATTTCGATAGAGTAAGCAAAATGCTAGAAAAATTGATTTTTTGGCATCAATAGCTGGTTTTTCAGTATTTTTGAAAACAAATTCCAAAAGTGTTCACATTTGCAAAGGCTTCAAACATTATAAAATCCTCTCAAATTGGGAATTTCAGAAATCGATTATGATTGAACACTATTTTTTTTACAAACAAATGAGTCCCTACCGCCTCGATATATTAGCTCATTCCGAAAGTAATTTCGCTTTTTTCAAACGGGCGTCACAAGTGATGGAACAAAGATTTCTAAGAGGTCTTGCAGGCATTCGATGCAGATTTTCATTCTCTTTCTAATGGCTATGAAATTGTTGCAACGAAATCAATGAGCTTTCAGAAAATAACCAAAACCTGCGACCTATGCTTTTTGAAATGATCAAGTTTCACGATTTTTTAAAACTTTCATATCAATCCTCAAAAGGAGTTCAAATCACGAGTGGATAGAGAAAACCTTATAGAATACAGTGTTACTTTTTTCTCCTTTCCATAACTTGTCATACATTTTTAACAGAATTTTAACTGATGCTACCGATTTCCATACTTGGGCAGCTAAATCCTCGTAGAACATCAACGGAAGAGAGGGCACTATTCGATGCAGCATTTTCTTCTCTTTCTAATAGGTGTTTTTTGTTTCCGATTCGTTGTTTCCGGGGAGAAATCATTATAACTCATTTTTTAAGCGAGCCCCAGGCTGTACCCGAAAAACTTGAAATTTTATATTTCGAACCCGTAAACCCTCGCTTGCTTTGTAAAATTAATGCTAACTCATAGTACCATCTTGGTAGTTTCAAATTCCAATAAATTTTTAATGTTTGATGCGATTGTGGCTGAGGTGGACCTGCCAAAATCCGATGGTTCTGTCAAAAAATAAAAAATTACTGCGAGCTATGAAAAAGAGAAAAAAGGTGAACTGTCTTCTATGAGGTTTGCTCTATCGAATCGTTACTTGAACTCCTTCTGAGAATCAATATGAAAGTTTTAAAAATCGTGAAACTTGACCATTTCAAAAAGCATAGGCCGCAGATTTTGGTAATTTTCTGAAAGCTCGTTGACCGCGTTGCAGCCAATTCATAACCATTAGAAAGAGGATGAAATGCTGCATCGAATGCTTCCAAGATCTTTCACTGATTTGTTCAGCTTGCACAAGATTGGTATATCTCTTTATTTGACCGACTTTTCGGCAATATCGCCTTCTTGGGGTCTGAAAAAGTCGTGACCATGTAAACTGTCCAGTCAGCAACTTCGTCACGATCAAGCAAATTGTTCGACCTGTTAGCGAATCAAAAGAGTACAAATGACAAGATTGGGTCATTGCTCTGTCAACAATTCAAAGCTGATACATTACCCCAACAACTGACCATCATTCTTCCAGATCTAGCAACTTGGTCTCGGCCTGCTGTTAGCGGAGAAGCCACAGAGGCTCTGGTAAGGACCACTTGTGTAATGGCCAGGCACTCATCTTTTCTATTCATTTTCGGACTTTCCGTCGCGATCCAAACGCTTCTAAAGTTTTGCGCGTCAGTAATTCGGGCTCATAAGCTAAGATTGCGACCAGGGCCCGGCACGCGTTGATTTGGAGGTTTTTAGGAAACGAAGTCCCCCATAACTTCGCGAAAATTTACGAAGTCCCTCTCAATGTGAAAATCGATAGGGAAACCCTTATTCAACCAAAATAGCAACAAAAAAGCGAAAAAAGCGCATTTTGAGGTATGTAATATAACAAAAAAGCAAAAAGAAAACATTTCGAGTCGATCAAAGGCTCTGCCATTGGGTATAGTACCGTTTTGATGCTGGAAATGTCGAGAATCTCCTAGGCCAACCAAATCTGTAGCCTCAACAATCCTGCGATGCATTTTTCGCCACATATTTCAAAATACGCCGCAAGTGAGTGGAGCGCGATATCTATCAACGCATAGAATTGTACTACTTTTGACTCAAAAAAGGGGAGAGGCAACGGTTTGATCCGCTCTCTTCACTATATGATAGATTTTTGACCGTTCTAATCGTCCAAATCAAAAAGGTCCAAAACTTATGTGAACTCATCGATATCTATGCTCCGAACCAACCCAGTTGGTTTGGTAGTTGGTCTAGAAACCAACAAATTCGAGAACGAATATTAGGACACATAAGTTTTGGGAACTTTTACATAACATAGTTTGGAGTAATATTGTATACTCATAGCCCAAATTCGGAGCCATGTGATTGTTTGTGCTGTAAACAAGCCATTTGTTTGTTTGAGTCTTGCATTTGAAATTCGCGCGCTTGCGAAAGAACACGTCCAACTCGTGAAACCTGACATGTTCGTCGTGTTTTTTTAGCGCTTCCTCCAGGACCTCATAGAAACGATGTCCCCGTTGCTTCTAACTCCAAAAACGAAGTCCAGTTTGATCTCAAACCATCGATGCCGGGCCCTGATTGCGACCTCCACGCTTAAATTTGCGTCCTCGTGGCGCTGTCTGCGGTGTTCCAAGATCTTTTAGGAATCTTTGTTCCACCATATGTGAAGCCCGTTTGCAAAAGCGAATTTACTTTCGGAATGACCTAATATTAATGTTTGAAATTTTCGGATGCACCCTGGAGCATCTAATGGCAATTTTTGTCTTGAGGCTCAAACGAATCAGAAAAAAACATCTGCCGGAATGAGAACAAGCTGCATCGAATGGCGCCCTGGGTGTTTTCCGTCTGATGTTCTACGAAGTGTGAGATAAACAAATATTAAATTTGTAGCATCGAAGTGATAATTTTAGAAAATTTAGCTGATTATTAATGCCAGAATTTGTATAAGTTTACATTTTGTTCACTCTTTTTAAATGTTGTTGAAGCATATCCTAGGTCCAGAATTGAAATTCAAGAAAATAGCAAAAGTTAGGGAATATTAAACCCATTGATTCTGACGATTTTTCATGAGAAAAAGGGATCAATCCGAACAAAAACTTACTGTGAAAAGATGAAAAGTTTTGCAACACATTTCAAACTGCTTGTCTATCTTTGTTCTGAATGATTTGTGAATAAATCGAAAAAACTACACAACTTTCTGACCCACATAACAGGATAGGATTGCCGCTTATCGCAAAAAAAAAACCCCGAAATTAGTCATTACTATTTTGCCAGAAATTTCTCTCTTTTTTCGGAAAAATTGCATACTGTATACAAATTTGGTTTAGGAAAACGTGGAGATGAACTTATGTTACTTGTGTATTACTGACTCAAAGCCAATGGTTTTGCGTTCGCCCAACTCTCTGCTCAAATTCATGTCACTTTGGCCTTTACGTGTTCCACTTTTCAGACCCATCGATATCCGAGTACGGTTTTTTGCGATCGTTGCCTTCAAGTTGTCTTGCCGGTTTTGAGTTTCGACTGCTTCTGACTACTGAAGTTCACATCCTACCGCACAAGAATATCGTAACACTTGCTATCTAAATGGTAGTGACGAGAGAGAAATCTGAAATAGGTGGTAGCAATTGCAGAGAATAGGAGCCAGAGGAGTTTGGAAGAAGAGAAAAGCAGTTTAGAAAGAAAACAGCATGCTTTAGAGTCCTTTATCAGGTGCACGCATCGGGACCTCTGTTAGCGCTTTCCCAGCGTCAGAACAGTGCCGCGTTAGCATGGCGCAATCTCCTTTTCTTGCCCTCAAATCGAAGTTTTTATGCTTAATATGTTATTTTGATTTTTTTCTCAAAAAGATGTGCACATTGAACAGTTTTTTTATGCCGTACAGGTTACAGGTCCCAAAAAGATGTGCTCATTCTTCGATCGTTAATGACTCTCTTGCTTCAAAGTTGTCGATCCATTAGTATACCACTCTGCGCGAGCTTCAACTTGGATTCGCAGTATGGGGCTAATTTGCGATCTCTCTCTCTTTGTTACTGTAAGATTACGGCAAAATTTTGACAAAGGATTTTGGGCAATTGAGGGCCATATTCTGCCTCAAAATTAAAACTAAACAGGCTAAATTATTATTAGGTTGATGGAAGTTGCTGTAGATATAAAATTTTTACTTTAATGCTTCTTTCCTAACTCATCCCAGGTAAACCGTAACCGCTGTTGTCTAATCATTTGCCAAAAATGTAATCAACCTTCAAAACAGCTGAAAGCACTCCTAAAGAGCTGCGTATCAAAATCAGCATGTGTGGAATCCCTAGTACACAATTTTGCAGATTTGGCGGTTTATTCCACTATTCTCCTAAATGCTGGAAGTTCTTACCGTGATTTTGAAGTAACGAAAAATCAAAAATTCTATTCTGTAAACTAAAGTTGAAGCCCGCAATGGTACAAAGGTCGGCAAAACACATTAAAGCAATTGGTTGTTAACGACCAAACAATGTGCACATCTCTTTGGGACAACATTTATCAGGTCAAGGCAAATTTAATGCGTGTTTTCCATGGTTTTGTTCCATGCAACTTTTTTCCATCAAACTTACTCCTCGAATAAAGGCTTTGAATACCATTTGGAAGTTCCTTTCATGCTCTTTCTAATCATGTTTGAAGCGGAATTAACCTTATCAGAATATCCTAAAACTTCAAGCATTTGCACTCGAAAATCAAAATTGATTGCACTTACCTTCTTGACCAAAACTCATTCGCTATTAATAAACATCGTTTGGCACACAGCTGCTGTATTTGATGAAAATTTGTCTAAATAGCACACTTAATCATATATCATATAGAATGATCTTTCATAATTCCAGACCAATCGACGCCACAGATTGCATAGTCACTATAGCTATTCTATGCCGCAAAAAAATTGTTCTAATAAGGATTTCGCGTGAGCAAGCTTGTAAATGTAGAAGTAGAGCATCTTAACGACATGTTTCGCAGAAGCAAGCGTTCAAAACATGAATAATTAGAATGATTTCATAGAGAGGAATTTCAAGGCATAACAAAAACACGTTAAGCAAACTAAAATCTCAAATCTCTCTTTTTTTCTTCCGCAACCCTTCTTTGGTGAAACGCTCTTACTACTTGTGCTATAAGTTGGCATGATTGTCAAGTATACTCTACACAACTCGAGAGAAGTTATAATCTTTTGATAGAGAGGTGCTACAAAAAAAAACGATGATAAGAAGTTACAGCTCGCCAAAGTATAACTTTGCAGAACACGCATTATTTTCATACCAACCTAATACTAATAGGTCGGTCTGAAAATTTGTGGTACTTTTCAAACTTAACCTCATATCACTCAGAATAAAAATAGCAAACATTCTAAGCAGTGCTCAACGTTTTGAAGATCGACCACATCTTCAGAACACTTAACCCATGTTTTTTCCCTATTTTAACTGTTTTTTCTCGAATTTTCATTTTGAATTTTAAAGGAACGTTGATAAAAGTTGCACAGGGCGTGTAATGCAATGAATTATGTGCCTTTTAAGTGGCTTTGTAGCATTTCACAGAATAATTTCAGTTGTGAAAAAGGGGGAAAAGCTACATTGAATGACGAATTGAGAAGCCAGGTAGAAAAAGCACTGTAATGCACCTTATTTACTCTTTTTATTTGTCATCAAAGCCCTTTCAAAAGTCTAAATAGAAAATCTTGACAAACTGTTGATTTCAGAATAGGTAAAAAGCATGTGTTGGAAATTCGGTTTAATTTGAACGATTATTAAAAGACTCCAAGCAACATAAGTGGTGAAGAGAAGAGGAGAAATCTTCATCGAACACCGCTTAGAGAGTACTCCGTCGTTATTTGAGTAGTTTTAAATAGGTTTGAAAACCGCATGAATCTTGGGACCACCCAACATATTAATACTTGCTCCTCAAACATGAAAACATGTATGAAAACGTTAACGGCAGTGTCCAGGCTAAACTCAAAACCCTCCTAGTGTCGATCCTGAATGTTGGCCCCAGAAAATGGGCATCTGCGTTGGTCCGGTCTTCTAACGTTGTCTCTGAATGGAGATAAGGGGCCTGAAAGTCCCTGGGTGATATCAGACTCCGCCCACCAGGGACTGCCTCTCAACACGTATTGACATGGTAGTGAGCGGAAGCTGCACACTGCACACTGCAGTGCATACACCCATGCAGTTGCAGCTCGTCCCCGCTGGCCTGCCGACGGGAACGAGCGATTCGAAACACGTCCGCGCCCTCAAGGGTCCTCAGGAATCGTTTTTTTTTCGAATTTTGGAGAGTCTGAAGTTCGGAAGTGTAATCAGGGCCACCGAGAGGCCCCAGAATGGCGAAAACATGGGGACCAAATTCTGGGTGGACGCTGCCTTTAAGGACCAAACCGTAACCATAACCGCTTAAACCAAAAAAATGTCTAGAAACCTTTGAAAAACCAATATAATCTCTGCGAGCACTTCACCAAACAAATTCAAACCTAAATGTGTACAAAATGTAAAAGGGCAAAAGCAAGTCAAATAGAAAATAAAAGTGCTGAAACTGAGGTCAATACAATGTTACCCAGAAGCCGTGCATGTAATGAAATCAGTTAACACTGAGTTATGACCGAGTTACTGCACAACAACTATTTCAGTGTGCTCAAATCGTTTACGAGTCGACGTAGGAGCGATGATTTACTTGTGTATTATGTTCCATGCAACTTTGACTACAGGTACGCTTACGTAGTATATGTCACAGTTTGAGCTTGTGCATTCCGAGGTGGCTAATACGCGCAGAGTAATCAAGTTGCAGAATTTGAGTTTTGTACAAAAAAGAAAGAGTAGTGAAATTTCTAATTGACCACAGCTCTGTGGGGTCCAAAGAAAAGATGAGATAAGGTTACCATGAGACTTTATTCGTTGTCTTTAGGAAATGCTTAGCAGTGAACCATCAGGCATTTTCCTGCCACTCCCTTGTATAAGACATGTAAACCGAATACACTAATAAGAAATCCTTTAAGGTCTCAGGGGGATCCTGTAGAACAATAAAAATCGCAGTTTACGATTTACGGTTGCATGCATGAATATCCCTAACGGGAATGGAGCACAGCTTATACGACCTTCATATCTTGAAGCTCCAAAAGTTGGATTTACGCTGCGTATCCATTTTGGAGTGTCCTCTGAGTTGAAAACAAAAGCGAGCTGCATTATGAGCCGCATTTCCCATTTTTGTGTAAAGTCCTCGGTAATCTCTAGCTGATGGCCCCTCCTTCCAAGTTATCTGTTTTTTTCAGAAAGTTAATGCAGATACCAATGTGTTATGCTAATCACCTTATTTATTAGTTTTAAGTTCTCAATTATTGAAATTTTTCTCTTTGCCTTGGCGCATTACCAGCCAAGGCTATTTGTAGCGACTTACTAAATACTGCGATTTTCGATAAACCCCTAAGTTTCGAGCTTGGTTCATCAACAACCTCTTTGTCTACTTCAAATTTCTTTTTATGAGAACGGCTAACAGCTGGGGTTTACTGGGAAAAATACAAGAAGTTAGAAAACGCAACTTACGCAATAAGCAGCTCTTACTGAAACGCCCCTGGAGTGCCCTTAGGCTGCGTTCATACTGATGCGGAGGTCCGCTAACGGTTCCAGCACAGCGCTCATTTCAAGCGCTGTGCTGAACCGTTCGCGGACTTCGGGATCAGTATGAACCCAGCCTTACTGAAACGCCTATAGAAGAGGGTAGTAGAGCTGCAAGAAGGATAGGTGACTCAGAATGCAACATGTAAGCAGCGGGATATAGAGGACAGCTTCGCAGGTTCCCTCCCACCCCAAATATGTATTTGCACAATGGTCTGCATTTTCCCTTTTATACAATGTATAGCTCTTTTGTATGCTGCTTGCAGAAGTTTTTAAGAAGAGCCCTCAAAAAAAATTTCTACTTGATTAACTCTGCAATGCCCTGCTGCAAGCTTTCAGCTGCGAATTTTCCAACGAACATCAGATTTATTCTGAGTAGGTTCTAAGCAATGCGAAAAATGAACCTGAAACTTTGAGTTAATCATGAATAAATTGTTGCTTAACTTTTTCCTCGTTTGCAGAATCCGTACATCCTTAAGTCTGAATTGACCCGCATCATGCGACGGAAGATTCTCAGCTGTCGGTTTGCATTCCCTTCAGCAAGAAGCCCTTGACGCTGGTATTGAGCAGCAGGGTGGTTTTTGCAGCGCCGCAATGGTGTCAAATCAGTCATCCTCCGGAGCGAGGCACTAGAAGGCGAAACTCTAATTAACTTGTCGTGCAAACGAACTCTTTACCTGAGAAAATAAAAGAAGAAAACTGAAAGGGAAGATACATATGCGTGTCAAAGCATATGTATCGTCCTGTCTAGCATCTTTCAGCAGTCTAGCAGCTGTCTAGCAGTACAATGCTATAACGCCAGGTTTGAGCTACTTGCACTTTTCTTATGCTGATAATGTAGAGGTTAAAAGTATATATCGTCGGTTCGTTGACCGCACGGACAGCTCAAACGCTGCGGACCACGGGCGGTGCGGCTGAATTGTTAGAGAGCACAAATTGCACAACGGCGAATTTGTACTGGAGCAAGCGTTAAAATCGCGGCAGGTACTCCGCATGAGTCCATTCCGTGCGGTCAACGAATCAGCTATACGTATTTGCATTGCAGTGGCTTGCTTTGGGTGTAGGATTACATATTGCTTATAGCACTCTCCCTCGCAGACTTCTGTTACAAGTTACTCACTCCAACACCTTACAGCCATACTTCTTCGCAATCCCCATTCGGCAATGTAACACCTTTTACTCTGCTTTATAGAACTGCTGCGGTAGATCTCAATAGAATGGTCTTTAATCCTGTCCTCTTTGTCCTCGGACTTTTTCGGTAGTGCTTCGCAAGCCGCGCATTCTGAACCCAGCCTGCTTCTTTTGCCATCTGGTTGTGATATTTTAAGCTTATCCAAAAAGATGTCGCTATAGGTTATCAGCAAAATACACTTTGCATCACTCATTATTTCCGAAAATCAATGTTACTACGAGATTACTTCCTTTGCTCTCAAAAACTTTTTGCTTACCTTCCATGTGCCCTAAAAGTCTGCGCAGAAATTAAATTAACTTGTAATTCCGCTCAATTCTTTGTAAACCTATGTGCTTTTTCATTCTTTTGCACCGCGCAGAAATGTAAACGTGAGATATGTACATATAAAAATAGCTAGCTTTCAGAAAAAATCTGGATGTTGTTGCCTTTGTCGATGAAGTAAAAAGAGCCGAAGTAGGCGATCAAGTTCTGATTGTCTCGAACACGCAGTTCTCGAAAGTAATAACCGAAGTATACGAGCAAGACTACTATCATACTGTGGGTGTAGGGCAAGATGTTCCTGGAAGGATCTCGGAGTTTGGCAAGTGATTCTTCATTTCCTTTGTTTTGCTTCTTACTCTGGATAGTCTCATTTCATGTTTTCTGTTAAGCTCGCCACCCCATAACAAAGACCACCGTGACACCTAAACAATCAACGATTTCTAAAACGACGACTCATTCAACGAGTTTTTATACACATAATGTAACAACATCACTACTTACGACTACATCACTATCCACGACTACTGGTGGGTGTCGCTCACAAAGCGCATGTACATAGTGAAACCATGTAAAATCATCACGAGCACCTTCCAAAGAACGAAACGCTGCTCACTACTAAATATCAGTCTCATAGCAACACTTGCAGAAAGTCCACGCGAAATAAGTTGTCTTTTCGTCGGCGACCTCTACAATTATGATTCGAGTCAGAGGGATTACGATCTTGTGTGTACTGAGATCACTCTCACTTAGTATAGTATAAGTTTGTTTAAGGAATCTCAACTTTTGGGTGAAGTTCGGCTACGACATCTTTGACGAATTTCCCACATCGCGCATTGGCTTATGGTTATACGGATACACGTATTTACCAACAAAAGTTGAACCTTCAGAGATAAAGACGGCCACTAATTACACCGGATTTAGAAATCTACTATATTACATGACTTACTTCTTCACTCATGGTGCGCTGAATACTGCAAAGTAATCAAGCTTTCAACTTTCAGATGGTTGGATGATTGGATAGAATTTGAAATTACAGAGCCATTGATGCTTTGAATGCTATGTATGACACGGAACATCGGTTCAATTGCTTGGTGTTTTGTACTGCTCAGTAAATACTTATGCTGAAAATTTGATTCTTAGTAATTGATGATAACACGTTATGACTTTAGATATCGTACGACTCACCTCCCATCGTTAAGTAGCCGCTTTGGTAATGTCGTGGCAGTGGGCCTCAGTGGTACGTATAAATTTCGGTAGCGACTGTCATTAATTTAAGAGCGAACTATCAAACAGGACGTTTTCAGGCACCAACCCAAAAGAAGTCTTACCTTGGGACGGCAGATTAGTATCAGTCCCTTACTACTACGATGAGTCACATATTAGAGCTATAGTTAGAGCCATTGTGTTAGTTAGTTTTATTGGACATGCTGAAAACCAAGACATCAATCTTGTTTAGAGAGCCGAAAACAACCACCAAGAAGGCGACCTCGACCACTCCAAACAGTGCGGTCCGAATACATTGAGATTTTCACAAACAGAAGCTCAACTTTCATTTTTAGCTAAAATATGTAAATTGTGCCAATTTTGTAAATAAATGTTTTTTATGTAGTTGTCTTTTCGTAATAAGGTCAGCATTTGCTGTTCCAACACTGGTAAGCGTAGACAAATCAGTTTTCGAATAGTTTTGTAAGGAAAAGTAGTCGTAGTTGTTTCTCATCGCATCTTCAAAAAAAAAGTATGATGATTTTTTTTTCACGCCGTTAGCTAAATGAAATGAGCTGTAATTCTAAACAACGTCTTCTTTTCTTCGTAAGGATGGTGACTCCGATGACTGTTTCATATTAATCCGCTCGGCGATGCTTGTTTGTAACTGAGCAGATAGCTCAAAATCAACGATTTTAGGGAGCCAAAACACCTGGACCGGCTGAGTGTGTCAGCAAAAATTATTTTTCGTTTTCGTAATTATTTACTTACATCTAAATACTTAGATGGTCCGTCTCCGCGCGGCGTGCGGCCCCAGCACATCGTGAAATGTCTCTGTCCTTTGCTTCAGATATCCAAATTATCTTTGGTGTCGTTAACAACTGCGCACAAGAGCTTCCACTTGCGGAAAAGGTATACAGCTGACTTCTCTGGTCCATTCGCTCCACGAACTTTGCCCATTTGTTGGTGATCTTAATCGGTGAGGTTTTGCTTCGCCTAGGAATCCACTCTGTTCATAACGTCCATATCTGATCCTCATGATGTGACCAGCCAATTCGACGCTCTGGGCCCATAGTAATCACCCCGTCGTGAGGGTCGCGACGTTCGAAACATCGCACGTACCCAGCACGTGTCGTTTCGGCCGCGATTCGTCGCGCGGCTATCTCTCATCACTGCCGCGCGGCGAATTCGCGGGACGTCGTGACTGCAGGACGTGCTCGTCCTCGTGCGCATAAAACGAGCACGTGAACGTCGTCACGCAGGGGGCAGAGAAATAGAATTAGTGGGCCTATCGTGGAGACGCAGGAAGGCGCAAGTGACTAGGGGTCGAGTACCCCGAGTTCGCGACCTTGTGCAAGGACCGTAGATACACAGCACTAGATATAAGGCACGCCTGATACGATCGATATCAACAGCTGATAAGCGCAATCGGCGACGCGCCTGGCCGCAATTTATTCTTCTAAGCTGTTATTCTGCTGTATTTTGCTTTCACCAAAAAATTTGAGTTCGTTTTTGTTATCGTACATGCTAAAGTCTGCGAACTTGTGTGGTTTTTGAATGCCTTTTATTTTTGCTACAGTCGCAAGCCATTTTTTCACAGATATCTTATGCATGCCGTGAAATTGCTTGCTGTTTGCTTATAGCATCAGTTTATTGGTGTTTTTCCTTCATTGGCTGTACATTGATTGTATTCCTTCTATCTGAGAGAGGAAATCATTTGGTGTGCAGCTAATGGAACCACAACCGCACATGATTGCACATTTTAGATTAGTTATTAGTTTTTTAGAAATATTTTTTGTAGAATTCTAAAATTTGCATGTCTTTCATGCCATTTCCTTGTTAACGGCTATCAAATATTCTGTTGCTGAAATCCCTACTTTATAACATGCGATTTTCCAATTTAATAGCCCTTCCAAGCCGCAAAAATTTGCTTCATGCGGTACTTGTGCGCGCGACACCTAGCACGATAACCTGCAACGGTGACGCTGCGCTATGTACAATGATACACTGGATGCTTGATTTTTGTTCCTCATATACAATAACAGGGGGGGGGGGGAAGGGAATAGCGCTTACAGGTCAGTGGGTGCGAGGTCTACCGCAAGGGGAATCTGCCCATCCTTTCTACATACTTGATAGGTTGATCGCTACCACCCTATCTGTCTTTGCTGCGTCCTTTGCTTAATACCTGCCTATAGTGCAGCGGCCGTCGACGAGCACCGGAGGGTTCGATCGCGCGTGCGCTCGTAAGTTTTGCGCCGCCCAAAAAGTGGCGTGAGCAGCACGTCTTTCAGTCGGACACGTCGTGATCTCGCCTTCTTTACATCACGACATATTTCGGGGGTTTACTACGGGCCCTGATTTCCATCGCGTTTCGCTGGATCACAAAGACGGTGCTTGTGTTAAGTCATCTTCAGACGACTGCGCTTAAGCGCTCTATGGGTATTCCGTGAAGCTTTCGACGTGTTTGCAGTGTTGGACTGTTAGCTGCGTAACAAAGCTCGGTGAACATTTAGTCGGACAAGTAGGCACGAAGCTTTGGGTTTGTCAGCTAGCTAATGGCTTTCCTCCGAGGCTCGAAAGTTTCGCGGCTGCTTTTCTTCTTGCTAAATTCTTCCAGGTCGCTCCGTTCTCTGTGTTCATCGAACTTCCGAGATACCGCAGGGAGACGTTCCTGAGGGTGTTTTTCGATCCATAACGCCATTTGTGGAGATCCAAAGACTAGTTATGTACGTTCTTAACACGTTTCGGACCGGTGCTGCACATGGTGCAGCAGGCTGCTTTAAAGGATTTTTTTAACGTTAAAAGGAGGTTTTCTTTTAGTCCATGGTTATCGAGTCAAAGGCCCAAGCTCCTACTTTCCAAATGACACTGTAGAGCTGTGCTGCCGATAATTGTTCAGGAGATGTGAGGACAAATTGAACAATAGTTGCAACAAAGTTCGCAAAAGCGAACGACGCGTGCGACGTCGCAGCTTTTCTTTGCTTCGATTTCAGAGAGAAAAACCGTTGTTCGAATACTGTTAAGACCGCTTACAACACAGATAGTTTTGGATACTATTAGAAGCTCAGTTCTTGTTCCTATCTTTCAAGAAAGCACAGAAGTCCCTCTCAAGCGACAAAATTCATACACTTCAGATTCACTTGGAACTTCGGATATGGAACTTATCTGACAAGCTGATTATAGATGTAGCACATAATCTAAGAAATAAAGTCTCTATGTTGACTAATGGCTGAAAGTACACACTTTTTCGCCACGCGCGATTTCGCCATCCGAAACGTGTTAATAGATGTTTGGCGCCGATGCCGCGAAAAGCCAACGTGAAGCAAAAGATTGGCAGAAATTTTTTGTCGCAGCATTGCTTTCCATTACACTCAGTTCATAGAATTATGCTGTGGTATCATGCTAAAATTTAACAAAAATCAATTGTGTGCAATGATAAATATTAATAACATACTAGCCCTTTGTTACTGAAGTCTCGTGGTTCTAGATATGCAATGCTAGTAAGTGACTCTTTCAACTGTTCCTGAATAGATAAGCATTTTTACTTCGTTTCTTTCTTTGCTTTATTCAGCATTGTGAATTATTTACATGCACGTGATTGCTTTGATAAATAGGCACATCCGCCTCTTACTTTGATTCACAAAGCATTATATGTTGATTAGAAAAAGCGCACATTATCGTATTAGTGTTCACTGTTAGTATGATCTGAACAAATTGTGAAGTAAACCTTCCATTAGTTGTTTGCCCTACCAATGACGAATAGTGAAGTGATAGTCTCAAAGAAAGTAATTCTAAATGCGCGAAGCTTATAATGCTCTATAGAAAGTAAAACTTCATAAAAAAACATCGCCATATCTGAAGACAGAACCATGTTGTTCTATGGTTCTGTTGCTTCATGATCGAGATTTGATGTTAAAGGCAGCACTTCTCAAAATATCGAAACGAAGGCATTTACCTAAACTAACTTTTCTCCCGCTGGATCCGAACATTAACTTGTAAAGGGCGGAAGAGTCAATAAGTTTCTTTTAACCTTTTTTATACTTTGTTGTTAGAAACTGGAGTAGTTATGATTGTGTGCAGTATGCGTTCTCTAGCATGTAGTTGAAGTAATCGCTAGACTGGCAGGACCCAAAACAGTAAGTGGACACAGGAGAACTTCCGGAAAGAATTTTACGCTTTGTAGCGGCGGTTTTTTGCGGACACTAAATGCTTGTTTAGTGGGTCTGTCAATGCGCAGCTATGAAAACCCAGCAAGAACTATTGCCGAAAAACCGCTTGTATGAGGAAAGCCTGTCGGTTACACTTGGTCGACATCTTTCGTCAACATCTACCTATCTTGTTGTCTTGCAAGCCAAGCTTTTCTGTGCTTGCAGCTATGAGTTTCTCAAACTGAAAAAAGGGAGGAATTCTGCAGCCAATCCCGTTCAGACAATTTTTTGTTATGTGATAGTTGTTAGGCTGGAGGAAAAGACGACAAATGTTACTTATCAAGCGAATTCTTGGCGTTTTAGATTGTAGGCTTATCAGTACAAAAAACGACTGAAGAATCAATAATTGCTCGGAACTAAATGCTATTGAACTTATGAAAATATTGTGTTCAATTTCATACTCTATCGCTCAACAGCTATCATCTTGATCATTTCAAAAATGCAACACATTATTTAACAGCCTCAGTTTATATACTTTCGATATAAAGCGTTCACAAACATTAAACTTTGGAGGCAGTGGCGTAAAATGGCTCCAGCCAGATTAGATTTTGTAGTGTTAGGTAGTGGACCTTCAAGTACACCACAGCTTCAACTCCACCCTCTAAGTCGCGCACAAATGTATAAAGAAGCTCAAGAATTGGATTGGAGGGTGCAGTTGGGCCTACGGTGTATTTTGGGTGTACTACCTGGCACTACTAAAATTTGACAGGGATCCATTTTGCAGAGCCACCGCCTTTGAACGAGTAGAAACATCTTATTCGAATCCTGTGGGATCTTCTTTCTTTGATGAGCAATAATTGGCTTTGTGTGAGTAACTTTTAGCCGTAAAACAATGTTATGTTGCGTATTTCTCAATGATTCTCTTTAAAAAGTAAAAACCAAATCGAAGGGGAAAAAATATGAAAGCATGGCTTGATTGCTAAGCCGTTGAAAGATCGAGTTACTTTGTCATAGTTACAATTACAAAAAATTTTTGCGGAGGCTCACCAATCGCTTGTTGCAAATTTGAGGAAGTATTGCGCTGATTACGAGCCAACCATGCAAAGAATTTTGGAAGAGAGATGACTTTGCATTGCAAGCGAACTCTAAATTAATTGGATTTTGGGCGGAAGAAATGACAAACTTTCAGAAATAACAACGATATGGGGCGTAAAGAAAACTTCTGTCTTCTCTAGCCCCATATTATATT